CCTAAGTAACATATGTAATTAAAAACATGTCTTAGAGAAAGGTGTTATGCCAAAGTTTATCATGATTTTGTAATGTATATGTTTTAAGCTAAATGTAGATGAATAATAATGGTTGGAGACGGCTTGAATGGGTAATGAAGAAAAACTTTAATATAAGTTTAACACAACAGCAAATGTACCTTATGATGACAAAACCTTGTCGAAACGTTGTACATTTGCTGTTGTGTTAAACTTAAAGTTTTTCTTTATTACTCATTCAAGCCGTCTCCAACCATTATTAGTCTGAAAGTGGGGTTCCTCGTCATCGAATTTAAATGTAGATGAGTCTAAATGTATTTGTTCATGATGTGTAATGGAATTAAAAAAACATTAACGCTTACATTTGTTGTTTATACATAGGAAAACTTGGGAAAACAACCTCCAACTCTGAAGAGAATTCTTCAGATGGCTATTGAAATTGCAGATGGTATGGCATACCTTGCAGCAAAGAAGTTTGTACATCGTGACTTGGCAGCAAGAAACTGTATGGTTGCTGAAGACCTGACAGTGAAAATTGGGGACTTTGGAATGACTCGAGATATTTATGAAACAGATTACTATAGAAAGGGTGGGAAAGGGCTGCTTCCTGTCCGATGGATGGCTCCAGAGTCGTTAAAGGACGGAGTTTTTACCAGCCAGTCAGATGTTTGGTAAATTGTCACGGTGGTTACTTAGAATTGCAAAGCATCACTCCATTTAATGCTGTATAAGTGGTACTGGTATAATAGACTGTAATAGTAACTATGTAGAATAATAATAATAGTACAATAAAGTAATTATTAGATGTATTAATACAAACAACTGCATTCTTTTATAGAAACAAAACATAAAGGTAAGAAGCAATGACAACAGTAGTAATTGTGTGTAGTGTAGTACAACAGAACTAGAACATTAGGTAAGTTATTTGTAAATAAGTTGGCCTGTATTATTCTCCTCACTGTAAACCTTATAAAGTTCTACATTTAGCTGTAATAATCCCGTTTTTCATCTGTTGAAGGTCTTACGGAGTTGTACTTTGGGAAATGGCAACCTTAGCTTCTCAACCATATCGAGGGTTGTCTAATGAACAAGTTGTCAAGTATGTTATCAATGGAGGGGTAATGGAAATGCCCGAGAACTGTCCTGAAAAGCTGTACGTTACATTTTATATGTCTTTAAATATGGTGTTTGTTAGAATTTAACCATTTTCAACTTATAATGTTATCTATAAAAAGCCATTTAAATGTTTGTTTTTACAAATTTTCCAAAAGTACTGTAATTACACAAGTCGTGTTTTCACATACTGAAATGTTACCAATAAATTTCAAATAATGAACCAAAACTCGACCCTTTATTCTCCTGAAGAAGAATAGTCAAGTATTTGAAAGTATTTCAAATACTTTTTTTTTTTTAATTCATTGGACCTTTTGTGTCTGATTCTGTGTACTAACTTATAATAATTGAGATTTCACCAGATACTGTTTGATCCAACAAAATCACACAACGTGAATAACTAGTTAAAACTTTTTATAAATTTTATGGCTCTGCAGTAAAGCCTCATTAAGTTAATCAGAATACACCCATAATGAAGAAGTTCTTCTGGATTATCGAGACATCGGGGTGGTCGATTCGTTTAACAGTGAACACTATTAATAGTACGAGTTACCAAATGATGAACATGAGGGAGGCACGTAACTATAGGTACAATAAACGTAACAGTTTATTATTTTATGTTATCAAAGTGGCATGTTATGTCATTGTTTTCACATAAACCGTAACTTTGTTCAAACCAGTGACTTATCAAATACATAGGACATCTCTTGCTTTCTTGTTTAAACACTCATTTTAATGAAGCTGATATTTCTACAAGTCTTGTTTTGTGACTTGACATGACTGTAGCATTAAACACTCTGGTCAGTATCTGTTATAGTTTAAAAGTACATCCCTACTGCATTGGTTGTTCTCAGAACAATTGTCATAGATCACTACCAAATGTTAAGTTGCCTGTTTTGTAACAAATAAACATTAAAAATCTTGAAATAATTTACCAGAAACTGGTTTTGCTGAATAATTATTAAAACAAAAATAGTGTATTATTTGAGTGTAATCAGAAATCGTGTGTGATAGTTCATATTGTTAGTTTTGTTAATTTTTCTGGGGCTGTTAAATGACAGGTTTTATTTTCACATTTCTGGGTAAAGAAAATTTATGATTTTGGAAGCCAATTAAAATTATTTCCTGTGAGAATATGTATTCTATAATTCTTTTCATCACCATGTCTATAACTGACCTCTTTATAATTAGTAGTCATTATAAGAGCTAGAAGAAAAAAAGTTACTTAAAAGTATATTGGTGAAAAAAGTTCGTCATTTATCAAAAATAGTTTGAGTGAGTCTGAACAAAAAGTTAAGCCTAAAATATGATTTAAAAATAAAGCAACTCTGTGATATTTTTATTAGTAATAACCCTTTCTAGACCAGTTTTTCTGTGAGGGTGTATTCTGTTTGATCTTTTCCTTAGGTAACTTATGAAATACAAGTTGTGTTCAGAGTTGTAATATTATTCAAGTTGTGTTCAGAGTTGTAATATTATTCAAGTTGTGTTCAGAGTTGTAATATTATTCAAGTTGTGTTCAGAGTTGTAATATTGTTCAAGTTGTGTTCGGAGTTGTAATATTGTTAAGTTGCGTTCGGAGTTGTAATATTATTCAAGTTGCGTTCGGAGTTGTAATATTGTTCAAGTTGCGTTCGGAGTTGTAATATTATTCAAGTTGCGTTCGGAGTTGTAATATTATTCAAGTTGCGTTCGGAGTTGTAATATTATTCAAGTTGCGTTCGGAGTTGTAATGTTGTTCAAGTTGCGTTCGGAGTTGTAATGTTGTTCAAGTTGCGTTCGGAGTTGTAATGTTGTTCAAGTTGCGTTCGGAGTTGTAATATTATTCAAGTTGCGTTCGGAGTTGTAATATTGTTCAAGTTGCGTTCGGAGTTGTAATATTGTTCAAGTTGCGTTCGGAGTTGTAATATTGTTCAAGTTGCGTTCGGAGTTGTAATATTGTTCAAGTTGCGTTCGGAGTTGTAATATTGTTCAAGTTTGCGTTCGGAGTTGTAATGTTGTTCAATTTGCGTTCGGAGTTGTAATGTTGTTCAATTTGCGTTCGGAGTTGTAGAAGAAAGAAGAAGAAAAAACCCAAACTGCTAACTCTCCTTTTGATTATTATTTTTTGTAATTTGAATTTGGGGAATATAAATAGAACTTTTCAACATCTGTGGTTGTTGTACATGTTTGTTGTTTATTTCTAGCTGAAATACTTTAAAAACAGTGAATTTTGGAAGCTGACTGTCAGAAACTGTTAAAATTTAGTTTCTTTAAACTTGGCCAGGTGGTTAGAGTGCTCTACTCGCAATCTGAGGGTAGTGGGTTCAATTCCCCATCCCACCAAACATGCTCGCCCTTTCAGTCGTGGGCACATTATTATGTGACAGTCAATCCCACTATTCATTGTTAAAAGAGTAGCCCAAGAGTTGGTGGAAGGTGGTGATGGCTAATGCAGACACCCCTCGTGTAGGTTTCTGCGAAATTCAAAACAAACCTAATTGTTGTACTTTCGAAACTACAACAAGCAGTTGCCGTCCATTCTACAAAATTCCACCATGAATACTGCCAAACAATTTATTAAAGTAGTCAGTGTTTATCATGTTTCGTATTTGGAGTGTGGGATTGTTTCAAAGTGATTACTTTTGTGAGTTATTGATTTTTATGACTGCAGTTGCAGAAATAACATACTTTCACTGGGCTAGAAAGGGTTAAGATGTGATTCAGAATGGGAAAGTATTAGCAGAGACATAAATTACAGTGGTAAAAAAAAAAATTGGTTTTAGTTTTTTGTGATGAATGTGTTAGATTATATATATTCTATATTGTTTGTGATTTTTTTTAATATGTACTTTATAATTTTAAATATTTTTAAGAGTATAGTATATATTTTCATGTAAGTGATGCAATTTCCAAATTTGTAAAACAAATGCTGGAACATTTTTGTATTATTGAAAATATGTGTTTATGACAACATGAAAATACTATGTAAACATAGATGGTGTAAGTTGCCAGATCTCAGTATGTAGCATGTTTTATTTTTCTAGGTATGCTCTAATGAGACTGTGTTGGTATCCAAATCCTAAAGCCAGGCCAACTTTTACGGAATTGATTGAAATATTACTTCCTGATGTGCCTAATTACTTTGAAGAGGTCTCGTTTTACTTCACACAACATACTGAAGTTTTGAACCGTGAAAACGAAGATGTGGTGACTCCCTCCACACCTTTAAAGTCATCAGGCACCAATGAACAACAAAGTCTGGATGAAAGTGACCATCAGCATGAAAGAAAAGAAGTCAGGTATTTTCCTAGTGCCACACACATGCCAGGAAATCATCACCATATGGACTGTTCTTGTTCAGAATGTCAAGGAGGCCATCTTCAAAGTGAAGGTCCTGACAACCTGGAAGACAGCAAGGGTCTGGTTGTACACTGTGCTGAAGACAGTAAAGGCATGTCCATTGCATCATCAGATGGTAGTAAGGGAAGTAAAGTGAGCACGGTCTCCAATGGTAGTCTTGCTAACGGACATGTACCATTCCATGGAGAAAAGACATCCATTTGCTAACAGTAGTGACTCCAAGTTTATTTTGGCCAATGTGAGACTACTACTGCAAGGAAGTCAAGAGTTGTCACCAGTCCATTTCAAGTGACTTCTTTTTACCATACGTACTTCACAATGCCCCTTGTGGCTTTACATAGACCAAGGTAACCTCTAGATAAACCCATCTAGTCAGCGGGGTGTGGTAATTTATGCTAGGGCTTACCTGTAGTACAGCATTTGGCTCTGATTAAATTAATTATGTTTCACTGTTTATGGTCACAATCACTTTTCTCACCAACCACAGAAAAGTGCCTTTACAACAGTTGATAAGAAAGTTTCCGGATAAAGCCGATGTGGCAGAGCCAATTAATGTAACACAAATAAGGCTTCTTAACACATTTAAAAAGGATTTACAAGGCAAATATATACAGCTGGGCTTATAAAACAGAGTTAATATTTCATTTATCAGTTAAAAAGAGATTTTTAACTAAACATTTGTTCCATTGTAACAGTATTAAATGTGCTATTTGACCACAAGTAAATTTCTGTGGTATTTTTTAAGACACTTGTGTATTGTCTCAGTCGTAAGCATGATAGTATTCTTCTTCCTTCCTCTTTCTTCAGCGAGACTGAATTGTAGTTTCTCAGTTAAATACCCAATTATAGTGTTAAGTAGTATCTTGAGGTTAATGAGCTAGTTATGGGGTTGCTATGTTTTCTGTCAAACAGTTGTACTTTCTCATATATATAATAACCTAGAACTTTATCAGTAGCCAAAGGTTTCAGTTGAGGAGTAGAAATGTAATATTTCTTAATTATGCTAGTCAAGCTACAACTGTTTATAAAAAACAAATATTTGTACGTGGACTTTGTTTAGGAAATAAATCCTTGCGTAAACACAACGACTTGGATTTTGTAGAAGTTAAGTACTGAATATTTGAGATTCTGGAAAATCGTGATGGTTTTAATGTTATTAAGAACACCCATGGACAAGTTAACAGACTGATCCTAGCTAATTTGGACAGTGTTGTGTCGAAAGAATACAGAGTTACATTTAGAAAGGTAGTTTTACCTTGACCGTTGATCTGAAAGTGATTTTTTTTTTTTCACAATCAGCAATTCTTCACGGCCATGTTTTGTTAACATGATATTTATTATTGAAGGATACTTTGTACACAGTCATTGATTTTACAGGTTTATCAACCCCATTTCCTACTGCAGAATGGGTAATATTAAGTAGAATAAACCATAGCTTTTAAATGTTGTTTTTTTAAACCTAAAATGTTTGTTTACATGTGTGTGTGTGTGTGTGTGTACATACTACTTTAGATTTTGACTGTAAAATGTGAACTATATCTTTTAATATTGGATTTTGTTAATATTTATTGAAGGCACATTGTTCTAGCTTTACACATGGACAAAGTAAGATCTTTTGGAGAAGAATAACCAAGTAGTTTGATCTTCTTTATTTCATTATTATTTTTATACATATGTACTTGAAATTAACATTTTCTTTGTGTTTCAGCTGTTTGTTCTACAGACCATCATGTTACAGATTTTCACAATGATTTTTTAGTAGCCTACCTTAGCAGAATATTGTTTTTTTTGGTATTATATCCATCAGTTTGAAAATTTAAATTTTAAGATTATTGACATGAAAATACAATATTCTTTTTTTTTAGTTACACATTTTAAAGTTCTGTGTTAAAGTCTGTCTTTCACAAACATTATTACATGTTGGACAATCTTACTTTTCTTTGGAGGTATTAGTACTAATGAAATGGTAAATTCATCGATAGTCCATCAATTTTTTCTTCTTTCATTAAAAATTAAAAACTTCTAACTTATTAACATTGTTCCTCTTTAAACATATTAAAAACCAAATACTTTTAAAGTTCTTTTAACATCATCATTAAATTTACAGACTAGTATTTTGTTGTATCATTAATTGTTTTAGAACATTTAGATCTTTGACATATTTTAGTAGGTAAGTCAAACTGACTTAGTTAAAAAAAAACCAGGTTTACCTAAAACTATCTATAATTCATCAACACCTTACAAGACTAACACTAACATAAACCAGTAAACCTGTTTTAACTTCCTATAATACATCAACACCTTACAAGACTAACACTAACATAGACCAGTAAACCTGTTTTAACTTCCTATAATACATCAACACCTTACAAGACTAACACTAACATAAACCAGTAAACCTGTTTTAACTTCCTATAATACATTAACACCTTACAAGACTAACACTAACATAAACCAGTAAACCTGTTTTAATTTCCTATAATACATCAACACCTTACAAGACTAACACTTAGATAGACCAGTAAACCTGTTTTAACTTCCTATAATACATCAACACCTTACAAGACTAACACTTAGATAGACCAGTAAACCTGTTTTAACTTCCTATAATACATCAACACCTTACAAGACTAACACTTATATAGACCAGTAAACCTGTTTTAACTTCCTATAATTCATCAACACCTTACAAGACTAACACTTATATAGACCAGTAAACCTGTTTTAACTTCCTATAATTCATCAACACCTTACAAGACTAACACTAACATAAACCAGTAAACCTGTTTTAATTTCCTATAATACATCAACACCTTACAAGACTAACACTTAGATAGACCAGTAAACCTGTTTTAATTTCCTATAATACATCAACACCTTACAAGACTAACACTTAGATAGACCAGTAAACCTGTTTTAATTTCCTATAATACATCAACACCTTACAAGACTAACATTTAGAGACCAATAAAGGTTTCATATTTTCAGGAGTACAGAGCCAAATGCTTGGGTAGCTTATTAAGATATATTTTATCAGAGGATTTAAGTGCGAGGTCTTTGTTTTACAAGCATCTTTCATGTTATCTGCCATAGCAGTATATGTAGGCAGTATTATGTACTTACTCGTACCCTTTCAAATCCAAGGTGAACAAAGATTAGGTGAAACAATACCATGGATAACTTTGAATGGGCTGTTCTGAAGAAAAATAAATAAAATTGGAGATTAAGTAATGATCATGATTGTGCATAGTAAATCAATGTTATATTTCAAAGGATTCAGATGCTATTAAATGCCAAAATATGAACATTATACTGGAAAATAAAGAGATTGCTGCTGTACTAAGAAGATTACACAAGTATTTTTGTGAAAGAGGTGTGTACCAAGGAATATCAAAGGATGAAATTTTTCAAGAGATTATTTCAGCATGACTTCAAGAAATATTGACATAAGAACAGATTGTTACTAAAAACTTTTTCATGATGTATGTACAGAAACAGCCATAAAATTATTCATTACAGAGGGCGCTGTGCCACAAATTAAAAAAAAAACAACTTCTGGTAGCAATGTTGTTATAAAAATGCGAGTGTACGAGTTCTGTGTATTTTATCTTCTACTTGAAGATAAGGCCAAAAGATGCTTAATGTTATGCTACGTTCACTTAGCTGCCAATATTAAATAGAAGAAAATTGTAAATATTATACATAAACGTGTTGTTAATGTTGGTGAAGCCTGCACTTGGCTTGGACAAAACCATTGTACAGAACTTGAGAAGATATTGTAAGATTATGTTGATATGACATTGGTTGTAACTATGTGTATGTGTATATAGTATCAATATTTATATGGACTCCTTGTACAGATCTAAATGTTTCTCTATGTATTTGCATTTGTATAAGCTGATGTTTCCTCTTCTCTCACTGGCGAGTTTTACGATGTAACGGATGAGAATCTAGGGTACGTTAAATCTAGTTTTGTAGAACTAACTGCCAGCTTATTATATTCAGCTCATGCTATCGGTAGTCATAAATATCAAGTCATGAAAAACACTTTATTTTCTGGATCACAAATTTGTAGGTGATATATCAATTTTATGCTGAAGATTGAAACATTGATATGTTCTTTTGGCAGAACAGCAGTTACATTCCTAAAATACAGAATTTTTTTGTGTATATGTTTTTTGTAAAAGATAGTGTTAATGTATTCACGCAAGAATAAGAAACATGAGGAATTATCAGTCACATTCTAAACCTGTAAACTATATTCAGTTACGTAACTCAATTGGAAAAAAAAAGAGAGCTTTATTTTGTGCCTTTTACTTTTTTAGAAGTTAAGTAAATTTGACATTGGTATAAAACTGAAGACGATGATCAAATTTTACACCACTCGAGGTTCTGCAGGTGTTTGAAAGTTTATTATTCTTAACTGGACATTTCCTTCACTTTTATTTCTAGTTGTTGTTGTTTTTTTAAATAGGATTAGTGAGAAAAGCATTACATAATTTTATTAGAATCTACACAATTTTTTTTTAATTTTTCTTGATATTATTCCTATGGTGAAGAACTCAGCAAAACAAAGTTAATTGTTAAGTGATTAATATTGTCCATTAAAGTTCTTCATTTTTGTAAATAACATTAAACATAGAACAAAGAGTTTGTTGAAAGCATCCTCTCGTTTCTTGTTCATGTAGTTGTCTGGGAGTTTTTGAACTGTTCTTGTTGTAAACCTTATTCTCAGCCCCTGGAAAAGTAATAAAATAGTTAACCTGTCAGTGTAAATTTTGTCATTAGTTTCCTTGATCAGTTTATATCTGCTTTTTCAAATTAATAATAAAAAAAACGTAATTATTTGGCTCTGACACTTTCAACTTGCTTAAAATGTTATTATACTTTTTTGGTCTCCAATAACAGATTAGCTATGTGAACTTGCAAATTTTACAAAAATGTGCAACAGGTATAAAGTGAGATTGTCCATGGCAAAGGAAAGGCAGTGATGTGTTACCATATTTACCACCTGCCTAAAGTCTACATACAACCCTGTCTTTTCTTCATTATCACTACTGGAGATGTCCAAGCATCATCCAGAGGTTCAATCACTCCTTTCTTTAGCACCTGTGCTTGTAACATTGCTAGCGCTTCAAGGAAGCCTTAATTTAATGATGGTTATTTTGTAGGACATCGGATTCCTCAAACACCATAAGCAATACATTGAGTTCCTGTTTCTGCACCAAGCTTAGATTACAGATGGTTGAACATCTTTATTCCTTTACCCAAATAGTATCTTATCTCACATACACATCACCATACTCCATGAGCAGTCACTGAGCTCGGATTACAGATGGTTGAACATCTTTATTCCTTTACCCAAATAGTATCTTATCTCACATACACATCACCATACTCCATGAGCAGTCACTGAGCTCGGATTACAGATGGTTGAACATCTTTATTCCTTTACCCAAATAGTATCTTATCTCACAAACACATCACCAT